ACACACACACACACACACACACACACACACACACACAATTATGATGTTTGGCACTTTCAGCAGGAAGGTCAAGATGCTAAGTCAAAAAAGCAGAGAAAGAGAAATCGAGAAGTTATTTCACACCATGACGATGAAGACCGTAGAGCTTCCCTCAGACGAGAGAAAAGGAGAAGGAAAAGGCCAAGACGAAGAAGAAACTGACTTTGGTAACACGTTAGAAGGAGTAACAAGTATACGTGACGAGACACTTGAAGTGGAAAAGACGCAAGACGAACCTACTATACGTGGAATCAAATAATTTTTGCTTCCCTTGTTTGTCTCATTAAAGATTTCTAAAGATTTGAGCTACACTACACTTATTATTATGATCCATGTCGCAACTGTGATAATGAGCGTTGAAGTGAAATGCCGGTGATTGAGCGGAACACCGTCACATCGAAGTACTCTCTTCTATAATCAACTTTGCTATATGAAAATGCGGGTTCGTCGTTTTCTCCTGCGAATTTGAAGCATGAGGTTTTGCGATGTCTATGGTATTTATTGATCACAGCGACAGGAACCCAGTACAAATGCCTTCCACGTCTAACTCTTGCACACGTACAGTTGATCTTCATTACATTATGACAAAATTCGTAAAATTCTATGCTCTATCAAGCGCACGATCACACTATCACATACTAGCTGGCAAACCAGGCTCCGCCGGCCCCAAATGATATATTTGTAATCAGGTCTTCACTTACCCCTGTGCCAACTCCCAGCCGCGTAGCTCGAACTTTGAAAAACTCGATAAAATGAGTATCGACCGATAACGAAAAGTAGCCTACGACATCAGCCTTGCCCCAAAGTGTATATGTGCCAAGCTTGGTCCCAAACCGTTCAGAAATAAAAAGTTTAGGAACATACGTACAGACAGACAGACACACAAACAGACATTCAGTTTTATGTATAAGATTAGTTGCAGTACTCAGACACTCGCTATTGATTCGCGCAGCCCAAGGTTTTGTGTAAGGGCGGAGTGATGGCGCGACACAAGTAATCGGCTTCGCGAGAAAATCTCAAGACTGCATTATGTGTCGGGACAATGCTGCCAAAGACAACGCTTTGGCGCGGTGCGCATTTTGCAGGGAATACGGGGCAGCTCGAGCGCGTCATATCCTCATGTCTGGACGCAGCTGAGCGCGTCATCACATGGCACTATTTTGCCTCACTTTATATGTATAGAAATAAACATATTCATTCATAACTAAAAAATTTATCGCAATTTTTCAGTAGATACTAAATGGGAACTTCATTACTATGAATAGCAAATAATTCAAAAAAGACCTCCAAAAGAATTAGAATTTGGAACCTCAGTGAGATTGCACTACCGTGATTGCCATCTTAAATTTTCACAACATGAGAGAAAATGCAAACACTTGATAGAAGATGAGATACAAGCGGGCTTAATCACTTCAGCTTTCAGGCGCAAAGAATCTCGGAATGCAGGTATTAAAGGCAGTGGACAGGCAGAATGGACCCCTCTCGGAT